GCGAGGTATATAAATCAGATTTGTATTTAAAAGCTCAATTCATATCATCTAGGTTTAATGAAATTAAAGAAAAATATAATGAAATACTCTTAATGCTTGATGGTGAAAAAAGCTTAAAATTCGCAGAAGCATCAAAATATCAAGATTGTATTTACATTTGTGAGATGCATTTATGATTGTATTTACATTTGTGAGATGCATTTATCATTTTTAGCTAAGTATCAATCCCGATATCTAATTTTTTAATTTATGCTGTATATTCTAAAGTTCAAGTTCACTTTTTTCTATGTTATTTGGCTTATTTTTAGTGTATTGAAAAATGATTTGTGCTTAATAAATATAGGTTTAACGTAAAGAATTTTCGATCAATGTTATATTATAATATAATTGTCACATGTATTATAAATTGTATGCTTTATTTGAACAAGTGCAATGAAATAGAAATAAATTTAGGTCGAATTTGGCCAATCAGAATATTGATACTGAAGAAATCATCATGTATATAACTTGAATTATTGAAATAGCGATCAGAAGAAAGAAAATCATTAAATGAAATCACAAATAGTTATACTATACTGCTATTTGAATTGTTCCTAATTTGATAATATGCAACGTAAAAATCAAGACTTCAGATTATCGAGAGTAGACCAGTATAAAGATACGCACTATTTGCCCAAAACAAAAAAAAATTTGAGCAAAAATATATTGACAAACTTCTTGATCAAATTCAATGAAATTTTTTTTATTTTAATTCTATAAATAGTATTGAAATAATAGTCTTCGTCAATTGATTGGTGCGATCTTAAATAATACACAATTTAAAGAAAAATTAAGTGAACAATAATTGTTAGGGATGATATAAACAAACAATTCTTTTACTTTTGTTTTAACGTTTTCTTTGGTTAAATTATTATTAATAAGCATATAAACAGATTTAAACAATTAGCTATATGTATAAATTGGATATCAATTTTTTTTTCAGAAATCAGAAATCACAATTGTAATGGAACAATTTAAACTTGATACATTTGAGACCGGAATCTTCTTAGCTAGGATACTTGTTAGTTTGTTATTGTATTTTACTATTATCTGTTTCATTAAACAAAATTCTGATTGCTCAAATCATTATGATGGTGAAAAAGAAAATTGCCAATTTTTAAAAAACATTTTCACTTTACAAAATTAAATTAGTCTTAGCAAAAAGACTAAAGAATCGTACAATATTAAATATATTTCAATTTTAAAAAAAATTAAACTCAAAAGAAAACTATGAAGACAAATACTAGTTATCAAACTACTATAGTAGGCTGTAGCACTGAAGGTGCTTTTAAGTTGTTACAAAACTTAAGTCAATAAAATTCTTGAATTTTAGAGCAAAACTTCAATATAAGTATTAATATCACTAAGATATTGATGTAAAATTATTCATATTTGAATAAAATGTTATAAATAAATAAAGCTCAGCTATTGTGTTGCTTTTATAAAAAGGTTTCTTTGTTGGTGTTATATTACAAGAGAAAAATTCTATACTCATTTAAAATGACTAGTTCATGTCTACTTCTTGTGGTTCGATAAGTAAGTATTTGTATTCAATTTCTTAATTTCTTTAGTCAATTCATTTTTAATTTTGACCTATTAATATATTTTAAAAACTAAATAATTTATGTCAATTTGTTATTTAATTGCAAAATAAAATTATAAAAACCTAAATAAAATATTTTATTTATGGCAATTAAATGAACAAAAGTTTACAATTTATTAAAATAAGTTAATTCACATAAATCAACACTTTTAATTATATTTTCGATTCTTTTACTATTTGAAACATATAAATTTTAACAATAGCAAAAAAATTTAAAATGATTCACTAAAATAAACTAAAAGTTGTGCGCATTAGAACATGTCTTTAGCATTAGAGACGCATTGTAATATTAATTATGAGTATCTTGATATGCTTATTGAAGTAGCAAGAACTTTGCAAAAAGAATTTGGTAAATCAGTTGAACAAAAAGAAATCAAAAATGATCTAAGAAAACTAACAAGTGAACTTAATATTCATAGTAGCTATTTTAGAAGTCATAATAATTACAAAATATTAAAATTTGTTGAAAATTACCTTTTTAAACAAGGCTATTATATTTTTGAAAGGATAACATATTACTTCAACGTAGAGATTATTGAGAAACTGCTAATGAAATTGTAAAATATTTTAATAATTATTGTATAATTTATAAAGGAAATTCAACTAATAGAAATCGACTAAGAAATTTACTATTACTAAATTCATCCGAGCGTCATGCGAATACTCCACAAAATTTGAAAAATTGCATCACAAAAAATATAAAAAAAAATAAATTTTTTGAAAGATTCATTCTAATTGTATAACTTTTTATTATTACTCTTTAAATTTCCAAAACATTTAGAATATAATCATCTTTTAAAATTCTCGTGAGTTTACATGCTTAGCATGTAATAATTGTAATAATTATAACACGTATCTTCATACTATTTATCATAAATTTTGATTGAGATTTTTTAGATATTAAAATACATACATATATTGTACTAACTCAATAAATCGAAAAATTTGGATGTGACCTTATCATTATGCGAAAATGTTTAATCACATGACTTTATCTCTGCCTACTTTATAGCAGAGATAAGACTCAAACAAGTAAAATACTGATGGCGCAAACATTTTGTGGTCCCGTGATTTTTATCCAGATTGTAAGATCAGTATTAGAGATGTGAACTGTGAATGACAGTACATATAAATAAACTGTAGTTTATCTTAAAACTACAGTTTTACAATAAATTAAAGTTTATTATATTAACTACTAGTTTACGGATTGCACCTCTAAATTACTCTTTGTTATTTAATAAAAGCTTTCAGCACAAAAATTTATGATATATTCTTACTACTTTGTATTAATGCAAACATTAATCTTTAGATGCAAAGTAGCATTAGGATATCATTGTTATCTAATTAGCTATTTAATTGGTCACAGGACCTATATATCAAGAAATTGCTATTCAAATCTAAATAACTATATAATTTAGCGGTCCAATGGAACTACGAAATTATGTGAAAAGTCTTTAAGAAATATGCAAAAGAAGCTTGCTAAATATCTTAAACTAATTTCTGTAGTGTGACTACTAAAAATATTTATCAATATTCCAAATTACATAATGGTAATTGAGAATCAAAATAACTAGAAATATTACACTGCATTGCATGTAAAATTATGGAAGTGCAATCTAAATTTCTAGTTAAATTATCACCAAACATAAAACTCTTTTTGATACCTAGTTCTATCATGATTATGAATACATTTCATTCCAAATCAGAATCTTTACTATGCGTTGCACCAACACCACCATGATCAGTTGTGAGTATCAACAAACAATCTTCTAATTATCCTTTTTCATCTAAATCAGATAAAATTTCACTGATCTGTTTATCTATTTTTTCTAATTGTTCATAATATTTCTCAGAATTGAATTCGTAATAGTGTCCGGCTTCATTAACATCTGTAAGATGAATAACAAAAAGACCAACATTTTCGAATTCATCAGTTGAAATGATCTCTTTAAATTTATTCACAATATATTCATCGTGCTCAAAAACCCCACATTCATGTTTTGCTTTTAACATTTCTACATGATATAAATTCTCATATTCTAACAGTGTGTATGCGAAAATAAAATCAACAACATCCTTTTCAAGAAGTCCAGAATGGAATATTGCCATCCAACTAAAGAAATGACTTGTTTTCTAGCATCTATCAATAGTTTGTATATGCTTGAATATTTGCTATCATTAATATAATTTCTTTTCTTAACATTACTGTTATCAAAACTAAACTTATCCCTATCAACACCATAAAGTATCGATCCCCAATTCTGCCCACTATCTGTTGGTAAGATTGCTTTAGCTTCAAAACATAAGGATCTATTCTTAATTATATTGTTAATATTAGGTGTTTCTTTTCTTTTAATATTGCGTCCTAACCTATCTAAAGCAAAAAATATCACTGATTTGTATTTGGACCCAACAGATTCACGAAAATTAAGCTCATGTTTCAAATAAATGCTTTCATTATAATTGGAATATAATAACATGACATGAATGATTAGAGTTGCAAATTATTATAATAAATAAACTAGTTTA